TGTGTGTGTCTGTGTGTGTGTCTGTGTGTGTGTGTGTGTGTGTGTGTGTGTGTGTGTGTGTGTGTGTGGGTGTGTGTGTGTGTGTGTGTGTGTGTGTGTGTGTGTGTGTGTGTGTGTGTGTGTGTGTGTGTGTGTGTGTGTGTGTGTGTGTGTGTGTGTGTGTGTGTGTGTGTGTGTGTGTGTAGGCCTGATCCCACAATTAGATAGCATGATTATATAGGATTACACTGCAGAACATAATATGTTATTTCTCAGTATTCTTCCCCTCTTTTCTTTTTTTTTTTTTTTCTTGCCGTCTCCAGGAAGCAGTGTTCCTCAGAGCGCCCCTCCTGTCCCCACTGGTGCCGGGACTCACTTTCGCTTCCCTCCCTCGACACCCTCCGAAGTCCTCTCCCCCAACGAGGATCTGCGCAGCCCCGGCGGCATGTTCAGCTCGGTGGCCCGACGAATGGCCCGCGGCTCCGTCAGCGACTGCAGCGACGGCACCTCGGTCAATTCTGAGATCGAGGAGGGCAATGCTGGAGCGGGGGAGGAGAGGGGAGAGAGGGGTGTGGGTGGTGGTGGAGGAGGAGGAGGACCTGGCGGTGGAGGAGTAAGTTACCGGAGTATCATCCATCCCCGTCTGTCTCATGAAGCCCTGTTCCGCATGTATGGAGGACCAGGAAACCATGCTGGGCACCACGGCTCCCGCCACACACACCGAATCCACCCAGACTCCCTGTCGCCCTTCCCTGTGTCTCCTCTGCCGGGCCCGGGAGGAGCCGGCCTCCTAGCCCCTCCTCTGTCCCCGGCGCTTTCCATGACCCCGACATCTCACCTGCCCTACACCCCTTCACCCACCCTGTCGCCCATGTTAGGCTCCCACTTCTCCTTCAACCCGGAGGACATGAAGCGCTACCTGCAGGCCCACACCCAGTCGGTATACAACTACGGCCTCAGCCCCAGAGCTTTCCTCCATTACCCCAACATCGTCATCCCTCAGCCCCACCGGCCCGCCGCAGACAAGGCCGGTCTGACCGGAGAGAGAGGAGCAGCCGAGAGAGCGGAAAGGGCCGCGACGGCAGCGGGGGGAGAGAGGGGAGGAGAGCGGCACCATCACCCGTCTCTGGCTCACTCTGCCCACCACCACCCGCATCCACCTCATTCTGCCCACCCTCACATCCATTCCCACCCCATGCATCACCCGCTCCACCTGAGCGAGGAGCCGCCACACATGTCTCCCTTCAAGTTCAAGCTGCAGCCGCCACCGCTCGGCAGGAAGCACAGGGAGAGTCAAAGCCACAGCAAACCCAGGCAGAGCTCCCTGTCCTCAGGCTCCATGACGTCTACCTCCGGCCTGGGCTCCTCGCTGTCGTTCGGCAGCGACCTGAGCTCTGCCAGCGGTTCAGGCTTCGTCTCTGCCTCCTCCTCAACCCAGTCCCTAAACAGTGCAGGACTTCCCAAAATAAAGGTGAGACACACAGACCCAAATATCCCCCATTGTGATTAACTTTACAATCTCAGAGTTAAACAGGGAAAATGTGTGTCCTTAAAAAGGACACAGGTATACAGTATGTAATCTACAATATGAGCAACACTCCATTGCCAGACATTGTCTTAAAAGAAACTTGTTTTTATTGAAACTACATTTTAAATGTATTTCAATATATATGTTAACTATATGTTAACTCTTTTTCTGTCCAGGTGGAGCCCATCTCTGACATTGAGTCAGAAGAGGAGGTGGAGGTGACCGACATTAGTGACGAGGACCCTGACGAGAGAGATGAGGAGTTTCAACTCTTCTCCCCTCGCCACTCCAGAGCCCCTGACCACCACCACCACCTCCTCCACCACCACCACCACCACCACCACCTTGCTAACGGCACAGCCGCACCCCAACATCAACCCCATCCCGATGAGGACCTGGACGAGGACGTCTTCAAGGCCCCTGCTCCGCCTCCCCCTGGCCTGATGCCCTTCTTCACCTCGCAGCACACACACTCGAATGCACACCGTGTGCTGCCCACCCTCAAGAGTGAACCCGTCGAACCAGGGGAGGGTAACACCCCCCCGCCTCAGACAGTGGAACCTCCCCAGACCAAGTGCATCCCCCTCAAGCTGCGCTTCAAGAGGCGCTGGAGCGAAGACCAGCGCATGGAGGCCTCACAGGAGGAGTCGGACGACAAGAAAGTCCGACCGGAGGAGGAGAGGGAAAGGGAGAGGCAGAGCAATGGCCGGATGGAGACGGAGGAAGACGGGACAGGCAGCGGAGAAGGGGACAGTCCTCCCCCGTTGGCCTACGAGGGCTCTTTAGCCACACCGCTGACCTCACAGCGGAGGGTGAGCGCTGAGCTGCATCGTGCCACAGCACAGCTGTCTCTGGAGAACAAAGACTGCTGATGAGAGACAACAGTCCAAACACTACTGCTCCGGGAGCACTGGAGGTGGCACAGGAGTATGTAAATGGTTCCTCTGTAATCTCCCTCTCCCAAAACTAGATTCCTGAAACCTCCAGTGAACTGAGAGCACAGTCCAACATACACGCGTAGAAAACTGACACCTCAAAAGACAGCCTGACTCTCCCACTCCGATCATCCGTCTGAATCAGGGCTCTTCTGGGACTCACTGAGACTCAGCCGTCCCAGGCAAAGTGACTGAAATCAGAAGGAGGCTTCCTCGCGAAACTTTTGCTCCAAGTTCTCCTCCCGCCTGGCCAGTGAAGCTCCAGACGCCCTGCCCCAGTAGCACAGCTCCTGCCTTCAGGCCCCATCAATAGGATCAGCAGCCAGTCAGCACTTTCCTCAGGGGACACACACACACACACACACACACACTCTCTTAAAGCCCAGCAACACACCTTGGATGAGGATGTGCATCTTCTCCCCGATGCGACTTCTCCCTAAAAGAGGCCGGGACTTTGATAAGTGCCTGTATCTAAGAAAAGAAACCTAGCCCTGGAGTGACATGGAGGAGAGAAAAGAAGGGAGAGGACTGCTGCAAGCAATCAGTCTTTAACTCATGAAATCCTTGTAAAGTTTGGCGGATACGGAAAAGGAAAGTGTGTCTCTGAGACTGAACAGTGGGGCTGTTGGGTGTTGTCTGACCGACTCTTAAACCTGGCCCACTCCACTCAGGGAAGCCTATTGCTGTATGTTTATTGGATTCAAGCACGCACACACACACTCACACATAAGCAAAAAAACAAGACAGCCAACATTGAAGGGGACTAAAAGCGGAAACATTGCTCACGGACACTTAACAATGTTCGCCGCGGCGCAAGAAAACGACACACATTCGTATTCACACATCCACAGACTTCTCTCAGAACTTTTGACTTTTGTGTAACCGTCCTTCTGTCTCTCTCCTGTTCCTGCTTCTCTTTCTCTTGCGGACCACCTGTGGAAAGATCACGACTCCGCTCATAGAAATAATCTCAAACCCGGGAGGTGTGAGGAGAGGAAAAGAGAAGAATGAACAAGTAGAGAAAGGACTGCTGGAGGGGACCAGGAGGGGGAGGAAGGGAGTAAAGGGGGTTCCAGTAACTGTTAACTAGCCTCCTCACCTCCACTAACATGGCTTGTACACTGAACATAGTTTGAGTCCCAGCAGCACAGAATCCTAGTTCACCAGCTAAAGCTCCTCTAACAATCATCGATAGTGTTTAACTAAACCAGCAAAACACACACACACATGCACAGCACTGCCTTTAGCTCTTAAACACGCTTCCTGTCTCTCTGTCTGGACCTCCAGCTCTGCAGTGGCGTCATCCTCGGGTCCTGAGAGTGTGTGAGACTGCCAGGCCTGTTAACTGCATGAGTGAGAGCCTGAGAGAGCAGGGAACATCTTAGACCTCACACACACACACACACACACACACACACACACACACACACACACACAGCGCCTCTCTATGCCTTGTTTTTATAGCATGTACAAAATTGCAAACTGAGCTCTGATAACACACATACAGACTATATATCTTTATATATTCTAAATGAAATTATTAAGAAAGTGAGATTTTAAAAAGGCCGATAGCATTTTAATGATATGATTGATTCAGGGTTGTTTGTAAGTGGATTATTTTTGAGTGGTAAGACGTGTCCTGCCACTCACTAGGTAACATCTTATGGAGGGTAGGGGGGGGCGGGGGTTTTCTTGTGCATTTGTTGCATAGACAAACAAGCCAGAGAAAACCAGCACGGGCCAGTTTACCAGAACCAGACTAGCAAGAAGAAGAGAAAAACAACTGGAGAACTGGAGGGGACTGCTAATGATTCAGATGTGTGGTTCACGCTGCCGTTGACTTCGTTTGCAGCAGCTTGGCCTTTCAGCACGCAGCACTCTGCTCCTTCCCGTCTGTACTGTCTCGCTCAGCTCAGTCGGGTTCTCCTCGACCCAAGCTGTCCTGGCCCCGGGCCCTCTCTGTGTGTGTGTGTGTGTGCGCGAGTGTGAGGGTGCGCCCATGGGATAAAAAGTAGTAATCCTGTCTTTTCTCTTCGGCCAGTTAGCATAATGCTCCAAAGTTCACATCAGCTCTGGATTGAGGGGGTTAAGGGGTTAAATTAATCATTACTGTAAGATAGCCTGGGACATGTGAGGCCCAGTCCTGAGAGGCCCTCTCCTCAAACTATGCACCTTCACACGTACACAAATGATTATACTTGTGATTATGTTTTAACATCTCTGCAGCCAGGCGTCTGATTGGTTAACTGAGCCAGCGGCCTGACCAGTGACGAGACGGATCTATAGCAGCGACCTGTGAGATAGATGGCCTCCAGGCGGTCTGTGTAGCCGAGCTGATTGAATTTCCTCATCGGACCCCTGTGGTCTGGACTGGAGCATGTTACAACACACACACACACACACACACCCACCAAGTCCTGTGTCTGTATTTGACAGCTGCCTTATTACTACTTTTTCATATCTCAGCAACAGGTGAGGCATCAGCCGTACCTGCTCTGCACTCCGTCTCTCTATTTTCTCTTTCATTTCGCTCCGTTTCAGGCGTCGTCTGACTTCCTGTAAACCGCGGCGCAGCCGACTCTGTCGTGATATTGCAGGAAAAAAAAAAAAAGATTGATTGTAACGCTCGCTCTCTCACATCCTGTTTCAGGCCTCAACAGTCAAAGAACAGTAGACAAACAGCACAAAGACGACATTTCTCTTATCAAAAGAATAAAGGTTTCTCAGTTTATTTTTCTGATGACAATATTGCTGTTGATTATTGTTGTTGTTGTTCTCATTGGGTTATTTACCTCTCCACCTGGCATTATTATTATTCCATGGCCCTGTTAGCTGTTGCTTTTTATGTTGTGTTACATCACTTTGGATGATGTTGAATCCCCCCAAACCTCCATTCCCTCCTTTAAACCCCCTAAACCTTTTCCTGTCTTTAGTTTTTACAAATGTAATATAACTCAAATGTGTAATGTTAATTTTGATGCTGACAGAGAAATAACACCGGGGACTAGGAGGAGAAGGCAGCGGCGGAGGATTTTATTTAGTGGCAGAGGGAGGAGTGATTTTATCTCTTTTTGTCATGTATTGTAATTTTTATTTTATAATGTTACCTTTTTCTCTCTTTGCTTCTGTATATTGTTTTTCATTTTGTTGGGGGGGGGGGGGGGGGGGAGGGGTTGTATCATTTTAAAAGGAGAAAGAAAGATGTGTACTGTTTGGCTGTGTAAAGGTCTTCTCCCTCTTTCACTCCCTTCTTTGGCCTGTCTCCCCCGAGCCGTTACATAACACTCAGATGGAGAGATGAGAGTTAATACCATGATGTAACATTGGATTTCTCCACTTCTTTTGTTTCTTTTTTTTTTTTTTTTTTTTCAAACTTGTAATTAAGCTGTAATCAGGGTTAATTAAAACCGGTTGGAACCCAATATGAATATCACTGTGTTTGTTTGTGTGTGCTCTTCTTTCATATTAATAAGGACAGATAAGGCCGAGCAGACAGAGGAGTTTTATTTGTAAACAAAGAGATTGACCCGCTGACCTTTTGTCTCGTCAACAACAAGCCGACAGTCATACGAGGTCTTTTTGTGTTTATATACTTCAAAATTAACATTAATTAAAAGGAAATATCTTAAAGTGAAAGTTATTTAGTGAGCTTTGGAGGCGTTTGTCGGTAGATTTTGTTAACGTGTGACGGCGCTATTGTTTCCCCGTTTATGCTAAGCTAAGCTAACTGGCTGTGAATGTGTCAAATTCTCTATTTTTAAATGCAGGTCTGTACTGTACTCTCCCAAATGAATTTATTTTTTGCACATTTATTTTTTTTAATTGAAAGATATGTTATTTGCCCCTCAAGCGAAAACTTAAGGAAACTAACATGAAAACACATTTATAGAAAAAAAACAATGTGAAAACACTCAAATATAAATCAAAGAATACAATAAAAGATGTTCCAGTCCATTTATATTGTATAAACATATTTATATGAAACAGTTCCCTACTTTAAACTAAAACTTTATGACTTCTTATTACAACAACAGCGCGTCTTTCATCTCGCCCTTCGTGATCCCTGATGGTTGCGTGGATGAAATGAACACACACACACACACACACACACACACACACACACACACACACACACACACACACACGGCCTCCGAGAGGGCTCTGAGGTTTTGCGTTTAGCCGATAAAGAAAAGCACTTTGTCTGCAGTGCTGCTGCCCACTCACCCACATAACGCTCACATAAGGCTCACCCATTTACCTTTTAACGTGACGTCATAGCTCCCTCGTCTTAAGCGCACTTACAGGCACATGTATGTGAGAGGAGGAGGAGGAGGTGCTGGCCTTGAATTGCATGTCTAGATGTTTAAAGTCGTGTGGGCTTAAAGAAGAAAAATGCAATCCAAATCAAGAAACATCGCAAAAATCTTCATATTAATTTGTTCTAAAGTACATTTTTCAATAAAATCTAAAAACAATTAGTTTTTTGGCCAACCATTAACTTTCATAGATAAAACAATGTCTAAAGTAGATATGAAGATTAATGCTGAAACATATTTCGACCAGTAACTTTATCAACATTTATATGGGCATTAGTATTATATTAAGACAAACTTCACTAAATCTAAAACCACCCTTTAAAGCACTGTTTCCCAAAGTAAGAAAAATAGTTATTTATTTTCTGTGAAATAGTTTTACGTTTTAGCTCTTCGGGCCTTTAACAATTATTCATGTGAAACAATCCGATGGTTTAGAGGAGAAAACAAACCCCGCAGTTCAACTTGTCACAAGGCACACTCAACCTGTAAGTGGGCACAAGTGGACGCTGCTTCATTTTTAAAGGTCACCGGTGAAAAATGTATATATTACATTTGTATTTGTATAACTAAAGATTCACTGACACACAAGCTTCTGTGCTCCTAATATGTCAGTGTGTGAGGCATGACTCGCGTAACCTGGTTTTACCTCCTTCTTTGACCTGGGTGAGGGTCACTGTGTGTGTGTGTGTGTGTGTGTAGAGATTCCTGGCCCCCATCTGTTGACACATCAGTCATCCAGCTGCTCCATTCACATCAGTGGAGAGAGAGAGAGAGAGAGAGACCACAGGAACCACCGTGCTCTCTCACCTGTGCCACATCCCTCTCCCCATCGATTCCTCTGAGCGCCTGCTTTCGCGGAAACCAGCGCAGAGGCTCTGTGCTCCGTGCTCCACATACAACCGCAGCCTGTATGCGTTGTGCACACGCTGCACAGCAAGAGGCCTTTGTGAATGCACACACACACACACACACTCAATACAGTCATACACACGCGGGGCTGTTGCATCCTCTGCGAGAGTTACGGTGCAGTGACATACGGGAGGGCACGCTAGTATAAGTTCACCACATCCTCCACCATACAGAGAAAAGCTGCACCGCACAGGAGCGATGATGCACTTTTCACAGCGACGGCAGCTTTGTCACAGCGAGCACAGACGAGTGTGTGTGTGTGTGTGTGTGTGCGTGTGTGTGTGTGTGCGCACATTGATGTGGTTTGTTTGACGAGCTGGTACTTGTATTTCCTTTTTCTCCTTCCTTTCCGCCAATCTTTGTGTTTGACAAATAAATATGATTATCTAAAATATGTTTCCCTGACATAGGTGACTGAAACAGTGCCTGATCTGATGGCTAAAGGGCAAATACGACTTCATGAAATAGGCCTTGCTTTGCACTTTGTACGCCATCAAAGAAACAATGGTTCACCTTTAGTCCTGTGTTTAGTCATTTCACATTGACTGTCTCCCCCTGTTGTTGGAACACAGCACTGCATACTGCACAGCTCGAAGATGATTTTGCACACTGAGTGATGTTTCTTGGTGCATCTTTTTTTCTCAGATGACAACATACAGTAGTAATTAAAAGCTTATTTTGTCGGATTATTTGGCTCTTTGCTGCTCAGTTTACTTATCGCTTAATGAATAATAAGTCAGTGAGTAGTGCAACAACTTCATCCAACTCAAGCATAGTCATACAGTGAATAAGTGATCCATCTGAAACATCGAGCGTATCCTTTTCATTCACCAGTGGTTCCCAAAGTGAAGTGTGGTGCCTAAGGATGGGCTAAGAATGAAATACAAAAAAACTAAAGCGGTGTCCTGGTTTGGAAAAGCTTACTAACCACTCCTTATGCATCTCGTCTCTAATGCAGACAGGAATCTGTGTGTCCAAGGACGCCTGTCCATGAGGGGCCCGCCTTCAGCTCCGGGACATGACGAGTACCCTGAGGAACAGCTGAGTGGTGTAAAGTTACTGTGAACAAGAATGCAGCGAGTACAAGGGCCCACTGTTCTCCGTACTGCAGCTTGTGTGGATGCCGGCCTCCTGTGCCACCTCTCTAACGATGCTATGATGTCCTCTCTTGGCTTATTCTTGCCATTTAGATGTGACACGGAGCCAATATCATCACTTCTCAGGAGCTATTCAAGCTTCAGAATAGGTCTGCAAAAGAGGGACTTTAATACATTTCTGTCTACATGTCTTTTGTGGTGGCATCCCTTCAGTCAAAATCCTTGGAGGTTTTTATCACCAGGTTGGTCTCCTCTAAATCCGTAACCTCGTGTGTGCAGCATTTACCAGACATTTTTAGACGTCATGACTCCTCGCTGCCTCCCCCCTGTAAGCCGCAGGAGCAGACTTGTCCTCTGTTGACACACGATACACAAAGAGCCCCTCCATTCTTTCAGTAACCCGCTCTGTAACTAAAAGCCGAAGGTGAAGAGTGGAGGAAAAAAACCTGAAAGTGCAAATCTTTTCAAAGACTCTTGGCCTCTTTTGTAAAACTGCTTTTGTAGTTCGCCTCAGCCCCAGGTAGGAAGTTTGATGGCTGAAACACAAATGTTACTAAAAACTTAACGTAAACTTTGATAGAAGCCTAAATGTGTGCAAATAAGATGATCAAATCAGAAAGTTTTAAATATCAAAATGTTATATAATCAAAGTGAGACTGCACTTCAGTACAGCAGCACTTGGAGTTAAATGCTGATGTCAGCATGCTAACGTGCACATTGCATTACCATTAATAAAGTATCTATCCATCCATCCATCCATCCATCCATCCATTTACCATGCAAAACAGCCATGCTGCTTGTGAAGACACACAACTTTTAGATTTTAATAATCCAGAAGTTAGGTGTCTTTGCCATCTCTGATGACTCCGTTCCTTTTGGTAACAAGAGTCCATAGCTGCAGGGACTCCTAAAGTCCGGCTTTCAGATGAAGCTGGGTGGATAACTTCACGGTCGTGCAGCTGAAACGCACACTGAGTTTTATTGTTGGTTTTGATCGTCTTATTCGAGCGAACCATCTCCATGACTGCAGGAGCTTTTGTTTTGAGGAACCTTTTCCGTCTTCCAGTTTTCTATTCGCATCACTCCGTCCGGGGGTTTGATGGGTCATGCATGGTCTGACCCCGAGGGTGAGTGTGGTCATGATGAGGGTCAGAGGTCAGAGGTTATGCTACTGCCAGCGTCTGCTTTAAGAGACCCTGAGGTGAGAGACATTCCTGACGTGGGTCCGCCTTTTGTGTGGAGTTCGGGTTGGTTTACGGAAAGTGGGAAGAAAAAGATAAGACCACTGCTGAGCTCCAGACCAGTTAATTCACAATAACTTACTGTTTTGTGCAGAGTAAGTAAAGTTTATTTTATGTCAAATTATCGCTGTGGCCACTCCATCCAGCTCAGGTTATATCACGCTCTTCCTTTCTCTTGTTGTCTAACCTCACAGTGTTTCTCTCCTCTCTCTCTCTCTCTGTTGTGCTCGGCTGCTGTCTGTACCTGAGGCCGGTCTGACAGCAGAGCCCAGCAGGAGAAGGGGGTCTCTGGTGTTTGACTGACAGGCCGGTGATGAGCGCACAGAGAGAGGGTGAAGGGTGAAGGTCAGAGGTCATGCTCCCATGGAGAGGGGGAGAGCAGAGCGGGAGGGCGGTGGGGTACGGGGACAGAGAGGGGGACTCGCTAACGAGGTGGGGTGGTTGTTGGGGTTGCATGCAAGGAAAAGACAAGTAAAAAAGTGCATTGAAAAAATGATATGAGACTTTATTGATCCTCGTAGTGGGGCACTGAATATATAGTTATAGAATAGAATAGAACGTATTTTAACTAAATATATATATGAGTCTTACAAATAAAAATTGAGAAAAATGTAATTATAAGTTTACATAATTGCAGCCAGACTTCCAAACAAGATGTGTTCCTATTCACAATACCACACAGGGCAACCCACATCTGGGTTTATGAAACATCTGGGTGTGTAGATGTGCCATACGCTTTATTGTAAATAAATTCAAATTTCTAATGATGACGCTCAATGAAAAGTTACGGGGACACCAAAGTTATTATGAATCATCCCGAGAGGGACATGAACAGTCTGACTGCAACCCATTCGTATTTCACCCGAAACTTGATTATCTGGACATTAAGCTGTCCACTGATAAAGGTGAAAGTGCATTTATACAGTGTAATGGTGGTGTGCCTTGTTATGTATCTTGATTATCACTTTTATATTCTGTAGTGTAGCGCCTGCAGAATAGCAGCAGCAGTCCTGGCTGCAGATAGTTGAACTCTGGACTGCTGTCTGGAAAGTGCATCCAGTTTAAACAGTTCATGTGTTTTCAAAGGGTTTCCCAGCCATTTTCTATTCTTCCTGCCTTCATATAAAATAGTCCTCCAAAGGGCCGCCAACAAAAAGCAATCTACCACCCACCGCTCAGGCACAGGACCTTCAGCTTGTTGTTGGGGTGACCCTGTACCTACAGGTGGTAGGAAGGCTTCTGCTCCATCCTGGATCTTTACACCTTTTTTACTCGACACAGACTAATAACACGAGCCGGGCCGACGTACTGTCTGATATTAGTTTATCACAGATAGACTGGTATCAGCATAATGTCTGACAACAAATGCAGAAGATTTGTTTGAGGTTTCAATTACATAGTTTGTCCACCAGAGAGCACTGACAAGTCTATTTTTAAACTGTAGAATGCACGACTCTTTTAACCAATTTATAATTGATGTTATATGAACGTTCAAATATACTTTGGATACACAGTATGAGTGTCACTGCTTGTGACACTTTAAAGACAAGCAAAGTCTACTCATGGCTCAAAATCATGAAAGGTGATGTTCACTATTCTTATTGTTTAGTTGATTTAATTCCTGATTTTAATGCCTAAAAAGAAGGAAATATATCAACAAGTTAGTTATATATGAACAAGTTACTTTAATCACTTGTTTATATATTGTCTTATTTCCCAGCATCCCAGTTTGAGTAAAGCACAGTACCTCTGAGACATTTAACTTTTTTGTGGACAGATTGTTCCCTATTGAAAAGTAAGTTGCAGTGCTGAACAATTACAACTAGATGTCGCTATACATCAACATTTAATCAACACCCGTCCTCTGTCCTTCCTCCCTCTCTCTCTCTCTCTCTCTCTCTCTCTCGACACACACACGTGCGCAAACACAAGCAGACACACGTAAGTAGTAAACTCTTTTAAAATTATACAGCCCCTTCGGCCAATCACAACTTTGTTCTGTTTTTAAGTCTATCTCTGCTCTCCTCTCCCTTGAGTGAGAGATCAGCACGCATGCATCAGGTCTCACCGACAGAGGGCGCTGCTCCTGTGAGATCCCGCATTGCTGTCTGTCTCAGCATGAGTCTGGTTTGCTACAACACACAGAGCAGGGGGGTTATGTCATCTTTACTATTATGACACTACATCTTGAGTGAGATACTGTGCTTTCTCTTCCTCTCTGCAGAGGTTAAAGCTCACTGCACAGATCCCATGTATCAAAGTTATTACACGTGCAGGATTGCCCGTCTCACGCACCTGCCATCATCTCAAACATGCGCACCTTTCTCTTTTCCAGCCACAGTTCCCAAAGCACACCGGTTCGTCTCCAACACCCCCTGCAAGTTACAAACACGGGGTTAGCCGAGTTTACGCGCAGACCACGCCCTCTCGGTCCAGCTGGTGGCAACACTCATGATGACATCATCGCTGCGCGCAGCCATTGGTCCCGAGACGTCGCACGCCTGCCCAATCGCCTGCCGGTGAAGTGACGTCAGCCCGGACCGGTCCCCGTTCACTTTCACTGGAGTGGGCGGGGCGGAGAGATTGCCAACGTCAGAGCCAGCGGGATGCTGCGCCGTGATTGGCTGAACGCGGTGAAAGTCAGCGTCTTGTTGCTGAGAGAAAAGTGAGAGAGAGAGAGAGAGAGAGAGAGAGAGAGGGAGAGGGAGGGAGAGAGGAAGAGAGCGAGTTTGCAAAGGGGCACCGATGCGTCGGCTGTGTCTGCAGCACTGAAGTGTTGTCTCCTTATTAAGAAACTTTTAAATCACGCACTCGTGCGTATTCTTCATCTTCCTCAATAATAATTTAAGAACTATTGAAATGCACTTGATGCAACAGTTCGCATGCTTGGGCCACAGAGTACAAACCGCCGCATTGTGGTGCTTTAACCCTGCTGCACCAACGTCTGTAGGGAGCAGCAGAAAGATTGATGCATTATCACCGTCTGCTCAGGGATGGCACTAGTGCTGTCAATTATGGTAAACATACTTCTTTTCAGGAGCGGAGGGGGCATTTGTGCCTTTCTATTGGCCCTCGGTAATTTGCTCCCTCCTCTCGACCCTCCCTCGCGCTGTTCCTATGGTTCCCAGAGCTCTTATTGGATACTGTAAAGTTTGGGACAGGACACCGGTCTGGCTAAGCATCCTCCGTCGCCATTGGCTGGATCCCCCCGTCTGTCAACTGGACTTTGACAGAGAGCCACGCCCCCTGGTCTGTAGGCCCGGCGCTGATTGGCTACTGTAACTGTCAGCGACCTCTCATTGGTCGGCTTGCCCAGCTGTTGGTGGTTCATTCACCATTTTGTGACTGTAGTGGAAAAGAAGACCGATAGTTTTTTGTTTTTTTTACAGCCTTGTTTGAGTTTCTGCGGGGGTAAGGACATGTTTTGCGGAGGAAAAGTAAAGTGCGAGTCCGGACCGCGCAGTCGTCAGAGCCGACAGCCAAGAAGGGACGTTACCGACAGTTGTGCCCGCCTCCTCATCGGCACAATAACACCGTAAATCGTTCTGCTGCGAGGAGGAAACGCTCTGTTTGGGTGAGTTGAAACTAAAGTTAGCAGAAGGTAGCGAAGCTCAACTGACACGAATATTACATTCTCAGGAGCAGCGAGGAAACACCGTCCGAAGAAATAGTGAGACACCGAGGAAGAGCCGAGAGAGAGCGAGAGAGGAGGGGGGTGTGCAGGGGAGTGTAACAGCCTAAAAACTTTTCTCTAATGTTTTTTCCGCAGTCCCACACGGACGGACCGGGGAAAAACATGTCAGCCTTCCTCCGGTGTCATTACTACATTGTGGTACATGTTGAGGACTTTTCCTTGACCGTCGCGTAGTCAAAAAGCGACCGACCTATTTTGCAGCATTGCAGCCCAAAATGTTTACCAACAGCATCGCAAGAGAATTTATAAAAAAAAACCGGAACGGACATATATACATAAATATAAACACGACAGCGTGTAATATCCCGTCTCCTTGAGGTCTGGCTGACGGTGTCATTATGTTGCGTACTACGACTACTACAACCACCACCACCACCACTACTACTAACGTTACTGAGCTGCTTACTAGAGCCAAACACCAACAAAGATTCATGCTTTTTAAGTTTTTTTTTAAAATGCACATAGTGTCACCTTACAGGCTCCAGTAAGGAAGCTTCAGCGGAGTGGTTGCGTGTACACACTACTAGGCGTTGTAGTGTGAGATCCGTCTGCATGCATATGAGGAAAAATAATTAAGCTCTTTGTAGTTGGGAGAATAAAAATGTCACTTGAAACGGGTTGTTTGTGTTTGTCGTGCAGCGGAGCAGACCGGCTGACTACCTCGAGTCATAATACTCCTTTGACATTGTGTAAGCGCCGCTCGTAGTACTCGCAGAGATCAGCGTAAAGAAGAAGCTGGAGGTTTTGTCTTTTCTCGGCTTTTTCCCCCCCTCGTCAACGCTCCACTTTCCTGCAATGCATGCACCCTTTGACATCTGTGACTGGGCAGTTCTTCACAGTTTTTGTCATATTTTGTCTTTGGGTGTATTTTACAGTCTCAGGAATTAGATGACATTTAGACTTTAAAGTGTCCTCGGTCTGTCCTGCATATTTTTTACAAACGTGGCATGCATTCCTCGTACCTCCATTTAGGCAGAAGACACATCTTTCATGTGCGTATATAAGCATCTGTGCACATTGTGGAGCAGTTGGTCATTGATGTGGCAACACAGTCACCTCTGATCTATGCTTGTATGGCCTCTTGATCAATTTGGGCTCAGAATGCACACATTCCAGGGCTCAATGTTCTCTCTTTTATTTATGTGATTCAGTGTCACATATTTGCCAGCCGCTAAACAGCATGTCAGTATTCATACTACGTCACAATGGATGTTCTCCATAACAAGCGCAGTCACACACACTGGCATGCTCACACACTTCCCAGCTCGGCCTCTTGCTACACCTCAAATACCTGAACGAAATGTTTTCTTTCACTCGTCTCATGTTGCATGAATGATCACATCCCACTCACTCGTGAGTGCATAAACAAGTGCGTGTAACTGAGAGCATGTTCTTCATTTTTTATTTTTTATTTATTTATTTATTTTTTGCTGTTTCATGTGTGAGTGTGTTCCCCGGTGACCCAGTTAAGGGCAAAGCCGCCCTGCCATGCAGGAGTGTACAAGGGCCACGCTAGGCTTACATACGGTCTTCTTCTGTTGTACCGTGGCACATAC